TATATATATATATATATATATATATATATATATATATATATATATTAGTATAGTATTTCAGTCTGGCGAGTAAACAAAAAAATATACTAGCCAATGGCGATTCAATTGCCAAGGTGTCCATAGAGGGTTGACTGTATAACAGTTTGTGCTGCACTGTATTTGTTTTGTCCTATCGTATCTATCATATGTTGTTGCCTTATTAAAAAATATGCTATACATTTAAAATAAATGTATTTAAATTTGATTGTATATACTTATAAATAAATACATTCATGAATGTTTTTAATTAATGGATTTTATAATAATACAAATAGCAATGTGTAACATTTTACCATATTTAGTGCAACACTTTTATTTGTTCCCCACAAAATATAGTTTTTTCACTAAATGTTTGGATTTCTAAAATTATTGTGCACTGATTTTTCTAGAATAACTTTTGCTGCTGAATTATCCACTAACCTAGTTTATGATACATTTTTGTCATAGATTATAAATATACATAGGCCTATATTTATTCATATTTGTTTATTTTATTTTTCTTTATAATGAAGTAGTCTGTATCTAGTAGATTGTGAAATAATGATTATCAGTTCCACACACAGAGATATAGAAATTCTACATTTATTTAAATCAGGGAAAAAAACTTGACTGGTATCGGATCGGAATCGGTATCGGCCAATACTGAACCCTAGGTATCGGAATCGGTATCGGAGGCAAAAAAGGCTGATCGGAGCATCCCTAGTATTAAATATATTATATATACACTAGATTTTTAGATTTTTTATGTTTTTTAAAGAAGCCTGCATTTATTTGATCCAAAGTACAGCAAAAACAGTAACATTTTGAAATATTTTTACAATGGGGTGGGGTGTGAGACCTGCAATTTAAAATAACTGCTTTCTATTTGAATATATTTTAAAATGTAATTTATTCCTGTGATTTCAAAGCTACATTTTTAGCATCATTACTCCTTCAGTCTTCAGTGTCGCATGATCCTTCAGAAATCATTCTAATATTCTGATTTGCTGTTCAAAATTTTATTTTATTATTATTATGTTGAAAACAGTTGAGTAGATTTTTTTCAGGCTTCTTTGATAGAATGTTCAGAAGAACAGCATTTATCTGAAATAAAAATCTTTTGAAATTTTATAAATGTCTTTATCGTACTTTTGCACAATTTAAAGGATCCTTGCTAAATAAAAGTATTAATTTATATAATTTCTACCCCCCCCCACCCACCCCCAAAAAATGACTGACTCCAAGCTTTTGAATGGTATAGTCATAGTATATTATGTTACAAAAGCTTATTTCAGATAAATGCTGATCTTTCTATTCATCAAAGAATCCTGAAAAAATGTACTCAAGTGTTTTAAATATTGATAAAAATAATAATCAAAAAATGTTTCTTGAACAGCAATGAGCATATCAGAATGATTTCTGAACGATCATGTGACTGGAGTAATTATGCTGAAAATTCAGCTTTGATCACAGGAATAAATTACATTTTGAAATATATTCAAATAGAAAGCAGTTATTTAAAATTGTAAAAATATTTCACAGTATTACTACTTTTGCTGTATTTTGGATCAAATAAATGCAGGCTTGATAAAAATAATAATAAAAAAATGTTTCTTGAACAGCAATGAGCATATCAGAATGATTTCTGAACGATCATGTGACTGGAGTAATTAAGCTGAAAATTCAGCTTTGATCACAGGAATAAATTACATTTTGAAATATATTCAAATAGAAAGCAGTTATTTAAAATTGTAAAAATATTTCACAGTATTACTACTTTTGCTGTATTTTGGATCAAATAAATGCAGGCTTGCTGAGCAGAAGAGAATTCTTTAAAAAACATTAAAAATCTTACTGTTCAAAAACTTTTAAATGGTAGTGTATATTAAAATGTTTAATAATTTAATCAAATTAATTAAAGGGGTCATATGATGCGATTTAAAATTTTTCCTTTCTCTTTGGAGTGTTACAAGCTCTTGGTGCATAAAGAAGATCTGTAAAGTTGCAAAGACTAAAGTCTCAAATCCAAAGAGATATTCTTTATAAAAGTTAAGAGTCAACCATGCTACCTAAAACGGCTCGTTCTAACACGCCCCCACATACCTACGTCACTATCTGGGAAGATTTGCATAACGCCGCCCAAATGTTCACGCAAAGAAAGAAGGCGTAACTTTTATTCTCGCTGTAGTATTGTTGTTGCCGCCGCCGCCATGTCGTGAAGACGCTGTGTTTTGTTGTGAAAGCAAAACTACTTTGTTTGGCCTTCCAAAAGAGGACGATATCTGCTTCGTCATGCCTTAGTAATTATGCCTAGTGCACAAAGATCTGTAACATCCTGACAGTCCGTTGCAGTCTTCTTATATCTGATTTGCTGGCTGACCCAAACCAGACAGTTATAGAAGAGCACAGAACAGACTCAATAACAGCTGAGTAAAATTGTGTCATCTGCGCCTGGGGAAGGTTGAACTTTTCGGTTGACAAAGGAAGTACATCCTTGGCTGGGCTATTTTCACAATGGAGTTTATGTGAGTGTCCCACTTCAGGTCCTGAGAGATGGTGGTGCCCAGAAATCTGAATGACTCAACTGTTGCCACAGTGCTGTTCATGATGGTGAGAGGGGGGTATCTCCTGAAGTCCACTATCATCTCCACTGTTTTGAGCGTGTTCAGCTCCACCTCTTGTCTGTAAGCAGATGAGACCAATGACTGTGGTGTCATCTGCAAACTTCAGGAGTTTGACAGAGGGGTCTTTAAAGGTGCATTCATTTGTATAGAGGGAGAAGAGCAGTGGGGAGAGCACACACCCCTGAGGAACTCCAGTGCTGATGGTTGGGTGTAAGTTTTCCCACCCTCACTAGCTGCTGCCTGTCTGTCAGGAAGCTGATGATCCACTAACAGATGGAGGTGGGTACAGAGAGCTGTGTCAGTTTAAGGATGATGGTGTTAAAAGCGGAGCTAAAGTCCACAAGCAGGAACCTTGCATAAGTCCCTGGTTTTCCAGATTTTGGAGGATGTAGTGCAGTCCCATGTTGACTGCATCATCCACAAACCTGTTTGCTCAGTAAGCAAACTGCAGGGGGTCCAGCAAGGGTCCCGTAATGTCCTTCAAGTAGGCCAACACCAGTCTCTCAGATGACTTCATTACCACAGACATTAAAGCAACAGGTCTGTAGTCATTTAGTCCTGCGATTTTTGGTTTCTTGGGTACAGGGATGATGGTGGAGCTTTTGAAGCAGGAGGGGAGTTCACACAGCTCCAGTGATCTGTTGTGAAGATGGATGATAGCTGGACAGCACAAGCTTTGAGGCAGGCTGGAGAGACACCGTCTGGGTCTTTGGCTTTCCTTATCTTCTGTTTCCTGAAAACTTTGCATATTCATCTTCACAGATCTTAAGTGCAGGCTGAGAAGCGAGGGGGGTGGGGGGTGTTGTGAGGCCATCAGAGCAGGTGTAGGGTGTGAGACCAGGCTTTTGAAACCTGTAGTAAAACTCATTCAAACCGTCAGCTAAAAGTTGATTCTCCACAGTGCTGGGGGATGTTGTCTTGTTGCTGGTGATGGCTTTCAGGCCCTTCCACACTAATGTAGGTTGCTTGAAAACTTTTTTCAGTTTTTCAAAGTAGCTTCTCTTAGCTACTCTTATCTCCCTATTCAGTGTGTATTTGACCTGTTTGTACAAGGCTTTGTCCCCAATCCTGTTGGCATCCTCTCATAGCTGTCTGAGTTTTGCACTGAACCAAAGTTTGTCATTGTTAAATGTTAAATAAGTCCTGGTTGGAACACACACGTCCTCACAGAAATTGATGTAGGATGTCACGGTGTCAGTGAGCTCGTCCAGATCAGTGGCTGCAGCCTCAAAAACACTCCAATCAGTGCAGTCGAAGCAGGCTTGTAAATCCCGCTCTGCTTCATTAGTCCATCTCTTTAAAGTTCTTACTACAGGCTTAGCAGATTTAAGTTTCTGCTTGTAGGCTGGTAGAAGATGAACCAAACAGTGCTCAGAGAGTCCCAGAGCCGCTCGGGGGACAGAGTGGTTTGCATCCTTTAAATCTGTGTATTAATGGTCCAGTATATTGCTGTCCCTGGTGGGGCATGTGATGTGCTTTCTGTATTTAGGCAGTTCGCGGGTGAGATTAGTTTTATTAAAATCACAGAGAATGATAATGAAAGAGTCCGGGTAACGCTGCTCTGTGTGTGATCTGATCAGCCAGCTGTTAAAGCGCCATGCTCACACACGCGTCAGGAGGAATGTGTGCACTCACCAGAATAAACGATGAAAACTCCCGCAGCGAATAAAAAGGCTTACAGTTAATAAAGAAAGCTTCCAAATTTGGGCAGCACATCCTCTTTTAAACTGTGACGTCTGTACACCAGCCTTCATTGATATAAAAACGCCTCTTGTTTTCCCCGACGATTTGGAGACATGATCTGCTCTGAACAGCTGGAAGCCCAATAGATGAAGCGTGTTGTTTGGGATGGCTTCGGTCAACCAAGTTTCCGTGAAGCAAAACGGAACTTGTCTGGTTTATATTCAGAAATATTCTGTGCAGTGATAAGCAGTAGTGACAAAATAACCTTTACATTTAAATTGATTTCCAGGGGCATTTTTACCTTTATACTGGGATTACATCTTGTCTAGGTGTATGCGTGATCATTTATTTATTCTGTCAAATTCTTTCATTTATTCAATAAATTGAATTACTTTAAGATACTATGGTGTTTTAAAATTAACATTTTGAAATATGAAGTTATTTTAAAAAATGAAATTCTATTTGAAAATATGAAACTGAACTGTCAGAAGGTCCAAACGGCCAATTCATTCAGAAACAAAGTCAGTTCCCTGTCTTTTCCATTCCATTCACTCTAACGCTCCATTCAACAAACGCTGAATCTTTCACTGCTGTGATTATTTGAAAGTGTTTCCATTGCCATTCTAACTGCATTTTAAAAGGCCACATCATGCTGTGAATGAGTGGACTATCAAGTCGTGTTTGTTTTTTGCAAAGTGAGTGACATACTCAATGTCAACTCGCACATTGTTAAAATAACTATTATTGCACACCCCTATTATTATACACAAACAGCTGTGTCAGTTTGGTTCACTGTATTTTAGTGTAAACTATGATGATTACAAAATGTTTGCATGTGTGTGCACTGTAACCACATTAGCATAATTTAGTAATTAGGGTGCTAAAACAATGCAGACTGTGTGCGCAGATAATTCAAGATTTATTCATTGTGAATTCCTGCCCTAAGAGTTTGTAGCTCTAGTAGCTCTACATGGCAGAATCATACTAAGAAGCAGAGGTTATTAACTGTAATAATTCTATATAATATTAATGTCCACAGGAGCTTGAAGCTATACGAGATGCACTGACGCCCACTCTGGTCTGTGTTGCTGCTAAGATTGGAGACATTGAGGCTTTAGAGGCCATAAGGGAGATGGTAAGATATTGATACCTGTTCAGACACTCATTTAAAAGGACACATGCACACATTGTTTAGAGCGACTGAAGGTCTTTCCTTGGGACAAAAGGTTAGATCATTCTTTCAAGTCATGGTGTCACTGATTATTAAATTGAAGAGGAAACACATTTGTTTGTTCTGTGGTTTGGTAAAGAACACTTCTTCATGTCTTAAATAGTTCAGATAACGTGAAAGTTTTGAAAGCCCCCAACCTAATTTTCCTCAACATTTAAACATCATCTTACATTTATAGTTTAAAGACATGATAGTTTTTCTTGCAATTATTGTTTTGAAAATATTGGTTTTGACATTTCTCGTCATTTTCAGAAATTATATTTATATAATTATTATATAATTATCTGACGTAATAAATTTGTCTTAAAAAAATTCTGTAAAAAAAAAAATATATATATCTTATGCTATATACAGTATCTCACAGAAGTGAGTACACCCCTCACATTTTTGTAAATATTTTACTATATCTTTTCATGTGACGACAACACTGAAGAAATGACACTTTGCTACAATGTAAAGTAGTGAGTGTACAGCTTGTATAACAGTGTAAATTTGCTGTCCCCTCAAAATAACTCAACACACAGCCATTAATGTCTAAACCGCTGGCCACAAAAGGTAGTACGCCCCTAAGTGAAAATGTCCAAATTGGGCCCAAAGTGTCAATATTTTGTGCGCCCACCATTATTTTCCAGCACTGCCTTAACCCTCTTGGGCATGGAGTTCACCAGAGCTTCACAGGTTGCCACTGGAGTCCTCTTCCACTCCTCCATGACGACATCACAGAGCTGGTGGATGTTAGAGACCTTGCACTCCTCCACCTTCCGTTTGAGGATGCCCATGCTTGGCCAATCCATCACCTTTACCCTCAGCTTCTTTAGCAAGGCAGTGGTCATCTTGGAGGTGTGTTTGGGGTCATTATCA